ATAAGGTATACTAAGGTGTTTCTTTATATAATGATTTTTTGTGCGTGTTTGATATTTTGGTGATATAATGTGACGGTTGGTAATCAGGTAGGTGTTTTTGTGTGCCGTAAGATGAATTATTGAGGTGATAACGAAGTTTTTGCTCCAGTTCACAAACACGGTAATCTTATTTATTTTTACTTGCTTTTTGTTTAAAGACAATATATGCATTAGTTTTCCAGGTTAAAAAATGGACATCTTCCGATACTCGTCTGATATAACCATTAAAACGGTATCTAGGCAAGCGAGCCTCTGTTGACTTTCAATTCTTATAATAGAGAATGCTTTTCAATAAAAATTCTCATTTCATTTAAATAAAATTTTAAGAAATCAAGGAAATTAAAAAGAGAAAAGAGCTTCTATATTTGAAAAGGAGAAAAATATTACCTTACATAACGTGCACTGGGTTCAGAAGGTATCTGCATGCGTTTTTGTCTTTTGAACTATAATCGCTTCGAGACATTTTATCGCGTTTTTCCGCTGGCAGACAGTGGAGAGACAGGCAACAGACAGTTTGATGGAGCGATAGACAATTTAGCAACAATTTACGAAGTGGTTTCCTTAAAAGTTTTAAACTATTTGCTGTTATTTGGTCTCACTTTGATCGTTATTGCTTTAAGAGAGAAGATGAAAGTAAATATCTAAAACACTGACAGAAAGAGCAACGCTTAGGGTTTTTATATTATTGAAATTGGGATATCGAACAGAGCAATAAAATCTGTCAATGAATGTTTTAACCCACAATGAATGTACAATGAACAAATAACCGTTTGAGTAGAGAAAAAAATAATATTTTATGAGGAACCAAATAAAGATCCATATTTTCATTCGAAAAGCGACAGTGGAAGTCTGATTTTCATCATCTGATCTAACAGTATGTCAAATCTAGATATATTCTTGGCTTAAATTTTCCGGAATCTATGAGACAAATATTTAATATTATGGTGTTTGGTGTTGTACGGTCCTGGTAATGGGCCCAAAACCATATGCTGAGTAGTTTGTAAAGGCATTTCACTATTATTGCGTTAATGGTATGAAATGCCAACCATCTGCATTAGCAGATCTCGCTTAGCGCACAAAAACTCCTTATTCTTTGTAAGTGACGAGGGAAGTAGTTGTTGAATGATATCGATTGAATATTATAATAAAACATATTTAATTTGATAGATATCAAAAGTTTTAAAAAATGTATGTAATTTATATCCCTTGTCCTAAGTTTGATAATAGCTATATAAAGAGAGAATTTGAATGTTTTTTGTCTTAATATTTTTATTTATCCATATTGTTCCTTTCATCGGAAAAAGAGATCGACCGATCCACAAACTAAATTTTTTTAAATTTTTTGTTTCGTCTTTTCGAACATTAGATAGGTACATAGTATATCGAATTCACATTCACTACACAGCTCACCAGTTTCACTCTATCTAGGCAATAATGGATGAACTGTGATATATATGTACAAACTAAGTTTATTGAACTTTGTCAGGGGTGTTACGAAGCTGGCTGGAAAGATAGAATCGGAATTGGATTTTTCAACGCGATTTTCGAATGACAGTTACGTCATAATGTCAAAGTTGGAAAAATGATGCTAGGCAACCCTCGTTGGCTCCATAGAATATATGTACTCGTTTATATGTTTGCTTGATATGGTTATGAGAGCACTCTGGTAAGATGGCCAACTGCAATGCTGTGAAATTTTCATGTGATGAGGAATGCACGCAAACGTGTTCCTCAGTAATGAAGATTTTGCAGACTAGATGACTACGTGCTGACTCTTCCTACATATAAAGGTGTTAAAGTAAACATTGACATAATTTTAACTCCTGATAAGATCCAGGAGTTTCAGGACTCCTAAAATTTAAGAAATTACACCTCTTGATATTAGTGAAAATAACCGTTCCATTGCAAGAGTTACATGGAACAAACGTTTTAGATCACCTTATATTAGTAGTAAATCTGTAGAAATTGCATGTGGCTTCAGATTGCACTCGATAGTCTTTACAAATAATTTAAATAGGTCCTTATTTTCGGTTCTCAATGGACTGCATATCTTATGCGTTTAAGTCTGACTCTTATGTGGTTCAATCATTTCAAATTTACCTAACCTAAGCAACTATTAAGATACATTTCGACTGTATAGCAATTCTGCATTGAAAAATATATTGGATATATTCTTGGCTTCCGAGCCATTTATTAAACCACAGCTAACTATAGCGTTACAGCTATGTATTGTGATATTACTTCGACGAACTAGGCTACCCCGAATGCGTTACGAAAGCGAAAGCATATAACACCTATCACCAGCACAATGTTAAATAACGAATTGCTGTTTGGCTAACACACAGAGTTTCTAAGTAAAATACTAGCAATGCGCATTGGAGAAATACTAAAACAACAACATCATCGCTGAAGCGTGGCAAGTATGTTAGCAAAGCTGCAGTGTGCGCTGCGCGCCGCAAAGCATTGACAATGACACCTGTTCATACAGTTAAACCCTCATCATTCATCTCTGGGCGCACATTAAACTCAGCGTTCAACATTTTGTTATAAAAATTGGTTTCAGCGAACAATGTGTGGCATTCAACGTTGAGCTTCAACTGATTGTGTTGCATAGAAAGTGAATGGCAATACCCTATAAAAATGCAACAACACATTCAAGTATGCATATATCTATATTGTTGCAACCCATATGTTCGTATGCAACACGGCACATTTCAGATCATATGCTCCCGCTTCGCTGGCGGCTACAATTTCACTTAAGAGTGTCTTTTGTCCCATTCATTTTGCTTGTTTGTTCGTTAGTGGATTTTGTGGCAGCAACCTTGTCACTGAATTGCCGCAAAATGGCGCACATGTGCTCGGCGATACCCAAAGTGTACGCTTATGCGAACGTGTTTTGTTATTGTAAATGAAACCAATTTCCGCTTTAACTCGCTTCGCAGAAATTCGAAAAAGTTAAATGGGTTTTGCTAGAATACTTGCGAGTCTAATTTCGCACAGATTTTAAGAAAATATGGTTTTATTGAGGAAAATATAGTTCGTGTTGTTTCTTTAGATTTGTGAATAATATAGCGGGACTTGAGATATGAGCAAGCTTCATTAACTTGTTTCAAATCTTTATGGTGCTCTAAAAATCAAAACTTCCCGGTTCAATAATATTGCGAACTTTAAACCTTCTTCGATATTATCTATTCGTACGAGCATGATAGAAAGCTGGATTTAGTGTTAAAGAAATTACTATTTATAATGAGTACCTTGTTGCCTTTTGTCGTTTCTTTTAATGCTACTTCTTATACAAAGACCTTCTTCGATTACAATGGTTTTTAAGGTTTTTTTTCCTCTTGTACCTTCGGATGATAGCCTTTTTTTTATTTGTATGGCTTTCTCTTGTTAGATGATAATCTAAGCGAGAAACCTTATTGATCGCTATATAAAAAAGTTTCCGAGAAAGGCAGAACTCTTTATTCATTCTTTGTAACATTTCGATGGCTTTAAAGATTACTGGATTTGGGAAAAGTATTTAGGACATATTCTACAATCCGAAATAAGATGCTGCTAGCTGATTTCACCAAGTGATCATCTAAGGCTCAATCCTTTACTCATTCGGATTTGTTCACAGAAACTGTCAACTCCATAGGATCCGTAAAATCAGCGAAACTTTGGGACCACTTCACGTGAAATTTTGCGTGTTTTCGGAATAATCGACTAAATATGCTTCCACTGAAACACACCAGAGATCAAGAAATAATTGTAACAGTGGTCTTTACTCGTTGAACCCGCTTCAAAGAGGCCGAGGACTGATGTCTTTTTTCGGGATTCTCAAAGTACAATCTATATCGACTACTTGGAAAAGGGAAAATCGTACTTTGTGCTTTTCTGTGCATAATTATTAAAACGATTTGATGCCGATTGTTGGAAAAAACTTTCACATTTGGCGGAGAAAAAAGTGCTCTTACAACATGACAACGCACCCCTACTACAAGTAGATTAGGAAGTGCAGCCCCTTCCACTGGGTCCATTGTGCAGATTAAGTCCCGTACCAGTTCTTTTTCTCAAAAGATCTCTCACCGAAGAGAAATTCGAGTTCATTGAGCATGATCTTCGAAAAACTTTCCGAGTTAATGTCAGCTTCTATTGAAAGTATCGTCGATTAAATCGATTATTGGCCAGATGACGTTACATATTCGGCATCTAAACTTTAGCATATAAAGCATAACTTGATTAAAGATGACTCAAGTGCTTCCATCTGCGGTTAGGCGTTGCTGAAATCTTCGCCATTAACTGGGTCCTAACTGAATATGAGATTTCAATAAGTTGAAGTTACGGCTTAAAGCTATTGACACGAAGTTTCCACAATTATTTAAAATCTCGTTATAGTGATGGGAATCAGCTGTCTAAATCAATGGTTTTAAATTACGGTTCAAGATAACTGTTACAAGTACAAGAGGTTTCGGTAGTTTTACGCTATATAGCTAGCGAGCTTTACGTTTTTTAAAGACAATATTCGATCAAAAGGCCAGAAATTGTTGATAGAAATTCTAAGAGAACAATTGCAGTAGAAACTTACATAAATTTAATTGCCAGATATTAAACCGGTTCCAGTTGGTCATCTAATAGAGCACTGAAAGTACAAAACAATGAGGAAATAGTTTTACGTACGGATGTAGTAATCTTATATATCTACATATATATATATATGTATATATGCAAGCACATATGGAAATGGTTTTAAATTACAGCTTGTGTAACGCAACAGCGTAAAACCGCAAAGGTAAATGTAAGAAATGTAAGTGATAGTTTGTGCTACACTCTCGATTTTGAAATGTTTAAGTACTTATATTCATATAAACCTATATGGTTATTGTTATGAAATTCAATCTAAAACAATGTGAATGTCAAATATTGAAAATTTCGTATAAAAAGCATTGTTGCCACACGCACTTTGTCATATGCCACACAAAAGTCCGCAGGGAACAACGGAATTTCGTTTAGTTGACGGTTGCCATCATACCACGCAGGACGATACCAACGAAATACTACAGGCCAACAAGCGGCGCGTGACTCCGAACTACGAGTATTTTGCGCAAAGTCAAAGGTTATAATTGAAATCGAGTGGCAAAATCGGTGAATTGAAAAAATCACAGGCCAAACTATAAACAAAATGAGTTCACGCAGTAAATTGTGGCGCGGCAAACGCTGCAGGTGGCTGCTAATCGGAATTTCTTGCACACTAATACCACTGCTCACACGCAATGCGGCGGCAATAACGGTAACGTCAGCAAACGGTGGCACCGCGGCCAACGCAGCAACTAATTATGTGCAAAATCGTAACTATGAGGATGCAGCGGCGGCGACAGCGGCTGTAGTGACGGCGGCAATGAACGCAGCCGCATTGCCAATGGCGAAAACAACAACAAATGATTACGCAAAACAATTGCCGCACTATTATGCAGCGCTAACAACCGATTTAGACAATGCGAATTCAGCTGCCGCGGAGCCGATTTATCGAAATTATTTTGAAAACACCGACACCGGTAGCGGTGATAAAATCGATGCGGCAACGGTGATTTTACGCGACCACATGGCACAATGGCATTTGCCAGCTGCCAGCGGCCAGCCAACAGATGAGTCAGCAATGACAGGAGCTGGATTTGTGCCTACAACAATGACTGCTGCCGGGCAACATTATGCTAAAAGTACGAGCGCCGATGCCGCAGCGGCGGTGGTGGGGCACGCGCATGCAGGTGTTGACTTTTCAACAAATAGTGCGCGCGCTGCAAGCAATGCGGCGCGCAGTGTGGATAGCAATAGCGCAGGTGCTACCTACGCATATGAGTATGCGACGCCCAAAGGCAAAATTGATTACGAATTCAATGAAGCTAATTTCCAGAGTGCCAGTAACGGTGACAATAACGGCAGTGGTAATGGTTATAGTGCAGATCAATTGGCTGTAACAGTAGCTAAGGGCGGTGCGAATATGGGCGCGGTTGATGCGTATGGCATTTACAAATATGACATGAGCGAATATGCGCAGCACTTGCAACGTGCGCTGACGACGACCAATATGGGCAACAAAGAGGCGCATTATGCGGCGGCAGTTGATTCCGAAAGTGCCAATCAGAGCGTTGGTGTTGGCGATGGCGGCGGCGGCGGTACATATTTCGAGAATCATTTGCCGAGTTATGAAAATTATTTTATGCCCACTTACCAGATTGGACAATTTTCCAATTACCATAGTCAACAGGCGGAGCAGGAGCTGAAGCGGCGGACACGGGGAGAAGAGCAGGCGCGACAAAATGAACAGCCATCAAAAACGGATGGACCGCGGCAGGAGGAGGCGCGAATACAATTACGGCCATTGACGCTACTCGACAACGCTGATGACAACAATGCGATGTTGCAGCAATTTAAAAAAGGCGCGAATATCGAAAATTATGCAAATGACAGACAGAAATTGCATTACTTTGCCAAACAACCGCAACTGGAGCAGCAGCAGCAGCCGCAGCAACAGCAACAAGAACGACAAGAGCACGCGCAACAGCAATATCAAGAACAGCAGCGCTTGCAGGAGCACTACCAACAGCAAGTACAAAAGCAAACGAAACAACAGCAACAAAAACTATTCCAACAACAACAACAATTGCAGCTGTCACATCAGCCACGCAAATTCCCCGAGCTGATGCATTTTTCCCTGCATCAGCACTTGCCACGTCAACGACAACGACTTGCAACAGCGCTTTCGAAAGTAGCGCGGCCGCACAACCCAGTCGCGCTATCCACTCGTCGTCGCCGTCAGCAAAGGCGTGATGCCACGTCGCTGCAGGTGATTGGCAACGCTGGCAGGCAGAGCTCGCTGCCAGCACTGAAGCAAACGCATGTGACTGCTGACGGTAGCTCGAAAGCCAACAGCAACGTCAATACAAATGACGACACACTCACGTTGCACAGTCGTTTGGGTAATGACAAAAGAAGCATCAGCGAAAACTTTGTGGATATCACCAGCAAACCCACACAATATTCCTATGCGCACGTCTACCCAACGCATGTGTCACAGCTCATCGATGACAGCGCAAATGAAATTGATGACACGCCTAACAATATCGACGACATTGCCAACAGCGACAAGGAGAACGAAGAGGAGACCAACCGCCGTGACCAACAGCAACATTACCTCGCAGCCATCAGCCATCCACAAGTCAAGGCATACCATCAACATAACGGTGCTTTAGTGCAACAATATACTTTGCCACCCATCACAACTTCGGAACGGCATACGCCAGCTAGCATTGCTGCGCTTGCCGGCATACCACTCGCACGTCACGTGGAGGTGACCAAGCATATTCCCACCATCGATTATGAACGCGTTCACGTGCCGTACAATCAAAGCGTTCCCATACACATACCACAGCCCATCATCACAGCCGTACCACGTCCCTACGCCATACGCGTGCCCGTTGCGAAAACTGTTGCCGTGCCGAAGGTGCAGGAGGTGCGCATACCCATAGAGAAGGTTACACCGTTTCCTGTGGAGCGTCCCGTGCCTTTCATTGTGGAACGTCGTGTTCCTTATATGGTTGAAAAGCAAGTAGCAAAGCCAGTTTACTATCCTTATCCTGTTAAGGTACCCATAGTAAGGACCATCGTACACAAAATGGCGCGCCGACCTCACAGCTATACGACATATTAGCCACATCCTATCTCATATCCGATCTCCTTGGGTCAATACCATTAGCAATAACATTTGGAGTCACACTCCCTGCCCCACGCTCATTATGCACATTCGGAACACTTGGGTTAAGCAAGTTTAATGGCATCCAATATTCTTAGTGAGCTTTAATTCATCACTTCAGAAGCAACATTGTGCTTTCGTTAACTTAAAAGCACTCGCGTTGTAATTTTCAAATGGTTTATTAATTATTACTTTTTTTATATATACATTCTCACACTATATAAGTATTATATAAATCTCAAAAGAGCTAATTTTCTATAATTTTTAAGTACTTAAGCAATTATCTGCAAAATCCATATAGACTTACCTTTAGAGCTTCGTAAACGTATTAACCTCGATATATGATATAAGTATAAGTATAAATATTAATAAAATAAACCCTAAAATTTACCAGAACTTCATGTAGTATAGATTTATTACCAATAGTGCAGTTAGAATAACCTCGACATAACCCTAATACTCGTAATATTAATTTTTCGAAAGTCTCTTTCTAAATGTGTAGCTTGTGAGTTTTGGTCCTCCTCTAAAATGGGTGCCATTCCTGCTACATATATCTAAATATATATAGATAGATAAATAGATAGGTGTTTCGATGTCGTGATTTAATTTTTGATTTACTTGTTCATGCTTTGTTATGATTGAATTCTTCAAGTTGTAAGCGACTTAAACTAAATTACTGGATTTTGCTGTCCGCAGTCCGATCAATTTATACTAAAAAATAAAAAAAGCATTGAGCGCTGGTAGATTTTAGTTAGACAATTTAGTTCTTCGATGGTCGTGGATGTGATATTATCTCGAATAAAATTCAACTTTGACTGTAGAAGAAAGATCGAAACCATTTTGGGACAGCAGTAACATTGGTATATTAGACGGTATTGAAACCGAGTGTGAAGAAAATATTATTTACAAAGGCTTTGGTAGATATTATTGACATTGAGATCTTACTATTTAGTATATATCTGAAAGATGATTTCGGTCAGACGGTATATGACTCAACTAAATCAACTCGTGATGTACCGTTATTGGCCTAATGGCAAAGTTAAAGAAGTGTTACACACATTATATAGTCTTCGGATCTAATTGATTGGACACACTTTATTGGTCTGATGTTACGTCTAAAGGTATGGAAGGAAGCTTACCTGGAAGCTAAAAATATATGACTTCAAATTGATCTTTCCAAAAGATATAATCCGATACTGCAGTTCTAAAAATTTTTTACTTATTGTGATGAGATATTTAAAAATTCAAAGAACTCCATCGATAAGCGCTAATTCTGGAGAGTCCTTTGGGTCACTTGCTGATGTTTTTAGTAGCCAGCAGCCCGTTGAGAGAAGGAATGTATGTATGCGGCACTATGGTTGTGAGCGTTGAAGACTATACTGCACGAAAACTTGGCTTCATAATTTGTGAATTCTCAAGCACTATTTATTTAATAAGGGTATTCTAGCTTCAGTGCAACCGAAGTTACGTTATTGTTTGCTTTTTGAGAGAAAAAAGTGTTCACTAATTAAACTGCATTAGTATACAAGTATATATTATATAATATGGTTATTTATAACGGAGCATATTTTGGTGTCAAAGCGAAGAATATTAAGCCAATTATGAAGGCTTACATAATTAATAACTAATTTATGCTCCTATGGGTATATAACTATACATATGCAAATAAATTCAGCTAATTTGCGCTAAACCTTCGAACGCATCGTTTGATGCTCTCTCGTGCGTAAAAGCTTATTACTTCATTTTTCTAAATATACTTGTATGTATGTATATTTTTATAATATTCACGCTTTAACATAGAAGGCTTATGTCCAAGATAATAATAAGATAGACACAATAGATCGAATTATAAACATACATACATATCAACATTCACACATATATAGTTATACATACATATATTTAAATCTCTACTATTTACATACCTATGTACTTCACACGCCGCACTTCCGCCTCCGAAGCTACCACTCTCAAGTTCACGGCGACCAAAGTCACGTGGCTACTTGGAATTCAGTCATTGCATGCTTGGCTGACTCATTGGTCATTGGAATTGAATCAAATTCGGAAATACAAAACCGTTAAGGAATTTAATCCAATTTGTGTGAGAGTGTAATTTTCACCAACTGCCGCTGACGGCCAGTGCTACTACCCCCGAAGAGAGGTGGGCTGTAAGCTTATTTTCTCTTTGTTGCTATTCGGATGGTTTTACGACAATGATGCTTTCTCCCATCTGCCGTTGAGCAACAAATTTATTATTTACACATAGCGGTTGGTGTAACAATGAAAATCAAATTTTCCTCTTGATTTGTTAACCGAAAGCGATTAAAATTGAACGGCAAAGATATTGTCAATGCTCAGCAACCGATACGGCGGGACAAAGAGAAATGGTTAGACGGATAATAATAGAATTTAGAAAAGTCTATTTCTATGCGCCTATAATAAGTTAATGTTTAGAGAGGATAAGTATTTGATTTAATTTTCTGGCGTTTATGGTAGTATGAGAGGGTTTCATAAATATAGAAGGAGTGTTGGTGTGTTCGAATTGGATAAAAGAAAGTAATATCGCCGAAATAATCTACATTTTATTTGAAGTTGTAACATTTGATTGGCTAGAAAATAAAAAAAAAATGTATAAAAACAAATTATCAAGCAAGTGCAATAAAATTTCGCTAATAGATCCTAGCTAGATTGGATTATATTTCATTAATTTTGATAATTTCTTATATATGTTAAATCGAATTAAAGAAGCTGCATTTTATTACATTGTATTTTACTCAGAAGGTGTGTTGTATTCACAGCTTCCTGTAATCAGCTAACATTCTTGAGTATATTTATTTAATTTTTAATCAGATATCCTTTATTTTACTAAGTTTACGGTTAATTGGCTCTGTGCCAATATCTAAGTACCGCTAGTCAATTTTAATGCAGTATATATTTTTATTTTAGAGTATGAAAGCCGATTTTTATTTGTTTGTTCTTCAGAAACATTCTTTCGTTTCATTACGAAATTGTATAGCTGGTTAAATTAGCTCACGGTGCTCAATGCCTGCATTTCGTGCCCCTTAATTTGCGATCCAAAATTCCACTACGAATATTGATATTATCTTCAGTTCTATTATAACAACCATATTGTATTTACACTCAAAAAAAGCAAAAGCCAAAGTAAAAATATTTTAAATTAGTAATAATTTTTCTTCGAACAACTGGCAGAAGCGAATACAAAACCAAAAACAAGTCATATAATTTCAATTAATAGTATTATTATATAGCTTTTATATCAAAAATAATGTAACGTTTAAATATCAGGAAACCGGTGTAAAATAGTGTTGACTCATGTCGGCCTTACTGCTCTTAGTTCTTGACGATCTGCAGAACAAGTCACTAATGAGCAAATGTGGTCTTCCCTTTAATCTCTACAAACATCTAGCTATTTGTCAAAAGATTTGACCTGCAGTCGAATTTAAACCAACTAGCGATGCTGCCAGTGAAGTTGGCACAAAAATAAACGTGATGAAAAATGAATTTGTATTAAGTAGCGCCATTTCACCATTTGTAGAAACGAGATTAACCGAAAAGCGGATTTCTTTTGGTACAAAAATTACCCCAAAAGGTGTGAAATCCGAAGACATTGTAAATTGCTTAAATAATGCGCGTGCAGCATTCGCCAAATTCTTAACAATGTATGGACGTCATATTATATAATATATGACATTATATTATATTATTATAATCACTAGGTAGCTTTAAACTTTCTTAAGTTCTGCTGTCGCAGAATTATGTAAATTTGGTGGGCGCTCACCATTTCAAACCAAGATCTGCATAACCATAATTCAACGTAGATGTGTTAGGTCCATTGGCCACACCCTACTTAAGGATATTGACGATATTTGCGAAAGTGCTCTTTGGTGGAATTCGCAAGCGTCGAGATAGCAAACACTAGGCAATAATATATAAACTAATCAAAAACTTTGTCAAATAACCGGAATGACTTTAACACTTTTGTTTTGACCCTACGATCTTACACATATTTTTTTGGGAAAAGTTGTCGGCAAAAAAGTCCATTACCCGGTCCCGGACCGAGATAGAAATTACTTACATCGAATAAGGAACTCTACGCCCATTTCAATCACAATTGTCATATAGCCTTTGCCTCTGCCTGTTACTTAATACCGTATTTATTAGTTTTGGCTTCATATAACGGCAGGAAAGGGATCTTAATACAATAAACCTCTTGCACAATGATAAAAATGAAAGTTTGGGTATAAAAAGTTTTTATAATTTTTTTGCTGGTTTCACTTATTAAATGTTTAAATACGTCTGTCTCTTTCGATTTCCTCATAATAACTGATAATATTGGGCGGGAACACAATTTTAAAAGGTTTTTGAATTATACATATATACAAGTTTATATTTTGTTATTTAAAAAAGAGCTAAACACCACTTGTATGATTAATGGGCTATTAAAATTTCGTTTCAATATCCACGCTAGGAATATTGTTTTATTTTTGTCGAATGAGAGGCCGGAATAATTTTAAAGATTTAGAGTCGATGTTCACATCAATAGAGGCGTAAGACTTATACCCTACCCGATGTTCTCAGAGAGAGCGTGAAACAAAGAAGGCGGTCAAACATCTAACAAAGACGTATGATTGATACATTTTATGTAGATGAACAGACTAAATTTGAGGTTTCATCAACCTCGACTATTGTAGTTTCTATGGAGGATAGAATTATCTGCCTTGATATCCAAAAGAATCTCTAAGAGTCGTCTCGTGTTTGAACAGCTCTTTTTCTGCCTTTTGAAATTCTGAATTTATTTTTAAACACTAAATTACTTGCAGTGTAGTTATTTTCACTTGCCTTTGCAATTAAGTGTGGCATTACACGTCGCTACTTTTACAACTAAGTTGGCGAAAGGCATAAGTGTTTCTTGCAATTTGTTGAATATTGCTGCATACAAAGTGGTATGCACGAAGTGCAATTTTTCGACCTCATTCACATATCCGCACGCTCCAACATTGATAGGTGCTTTCGCCAGTGCATTCATTAGTTGCCATGCGGCAGTTTTCGGACACAATTAAAAGTTGTTTGCTTACGAAAAATGTTTGTTCAGAATGCTCGAGCATTTTCACAGTTATTACTTTTATTTTCACTCGTATTTTCTTGGAAAACTTTATAATTGCAATTATAGAATTGACTCAATAGAATTCTGCAGGGAATTTCCTATGAATTTCAATTAATGAAAATTACGGCCAACTTTGTTACGAATACATGATGCTTGTGTATGGGTGTGTTTGTGTGTGTGGGGCAGGATAGTTATTTGTTTTGAATTCGTATTTTTAATGAAGTTCAAAGTTGTAATTAAAGTGAGAATTAAGTCACAAT